CGCTTAGGTTTTAGCACTTGGTGCTGCCACTTGGCTTCGTGGCTCTGAGAGATCGACAATCATTGTTGATAGCGCTGTTATGCTAGACCATGGCGCTAGGGAGCTATCGAAAGCCCTGGAACATACAGTCATGAGAAAATTACAATGTCGTTGTGCCACAACCACTACGACGTTGAACTAAACCGCTATAGTGTTGCAGCTCTAAATAAAGGCATTGTGATGCTAAAACCTAAATTAGAGGGATTCGAGCTTAAATGTCCCGAATGACAATGTCATGGATCCTAAGCCGTTTTACTTGGAAATGACTTCAAAATAAGTCAAAAATGATGTGAACAAAATGTTTATAGGCTAGCTCTGAAATACATATGCTAGAGGTTGATTTTATGAAAATAGCATGTAACATGAACATGCAGAACACATGGAAAGCAAATGTGACACGAATGTGCAACAAATAATATAGACTTGATCGACGTAAATGAACTCGACTAATCAACACGTAAATCTATGTTTGCTACACTATGTAAAGTGTGGTACATTGGCTACACATCTACCAGAGTTGAAAATCTCAAATAAACCACGACACAGTGGCGGCAAGGGGTGGCATTGTGGCGCTAGGTGTAGAGCACATATAGTTAGCCCAAACTGAGTTTCCATTCTTGAATCTGGCTAATAGCTTTATCAGGTTAATGTTGGCCAAGTTATTAAGATCCCTAAAACCCAGACTACAAGCCTCTTCTAATTTACAAATTTTCTTCCAACTGGTCCAATGAATTTGTTTGTTCTCTCCCGACCTCAAGAATTTGTCGAACATACTTTCCAACTTCAATTAAATAGCCTTATCCATTCTCATCAATTGTAAAGTATAAAGTGGAATTGAATTTAGCAATCTCAAAAGAAGTGTGATTTTTCCTCCATAAGATAGAAAAGTGTTAGAGCAACAATGTATGTGAGCTTAAATTTTTCTATTCACCTCGTCAAATTGATTGGAGGGCCTCCCCTTATGTAGTTTAACACTAAGGTACATTATAGGGAATTTTGAGTAAGTAAAATAAATGTAATTGTTGGCATGATGCTCTTAGAGCTGAGGCCAGCACATCAAGCTCACAATTCTCCCACGAAGCATGAAATATATCAAGGACTCACTTGACTTCTGTTTTGCCAGCATTAAATTACTCATGGTGATTTGGTGATGTGCACCTATGAATCTCTTCACAAAGCATCTTCCAGTTCAATGAATGTCTTGATAAGTTCAACAAAAAACCATTCAAATCCAAATCTAGCCAACCTAATGACAAATAATCGAAGGAGCATAGAATCTTAATTCCCAAAGTTGCAACACAATGCTCGATATTATCCAATATGTTGTTGGGCATTCCTAGCACCATTGAATTGTTTAAATTGAGGGGGAAAGAATCACTTAGAATATAAGACACTCTCGTATTCTTTAGGATATGGTCTCCCCTTTCTTATAAGTTTCACCTGTTGAGCAGTCAAGGCAACATTGATCTTAACATCTACCAAAAACTGTGAAAAAGGATCAAACACAAAGAATAAAGGTGAAGTAGCATCTATCATAGAGACATGCATTGGGATAGGTATGATAGTAGGAGGAATAACCGACATGGTTGGGTGATCATCAGCCTGCATGGTCGGGGACACCACAACTGACTATGCTGAGTCAGCCCGCAACACTGCTACTAGAGCAGAAAGAGCATTTATGTTGGCCATCATCTGAAATATTTGGCTTTGAAGCTGAGCAATATATTCATCCTTATCTTTCACTCTCTGCTCAATCGGAGCAGCATCCCAAGCTTTGGTGGACTCAAAGGGTTGTGCATGATCGAGCTCTTGAGAGGACTGCTCATTAGCAAGTCTACCAGTCTTAGTGGTCGCCACTATAATAGAGTGAGTGGCAAACCCATTATCATAAAATTCCTCCCTAAGGAGGTCATCATCATCAATAAAACCCTCTAATAAATCAGAGGAGTCAAAAGAAAATCACCTTCGGTATTTGTCATAATGTCTACCTTAAAACCAACTTAGGGTGGGTTTGAAACAGGATCAACAAGAGACGAAACTTCTTCTAATACCATCTTTGCCACCTCTTTGATCAAAGTCAAGATATCGGAAAGTGTGCCAATAGAAGTCTTTCTAACCCACTATCACTAGGTCAAAATAAGACTATTCGTTTTTTCGAACGTATTTATTTTTAAAATAAAATAAATAGTACTGACGAGGGTAGACCTTGGGACCCTCCCTATCAAAATATGAAATATACATCCTATTTTTGTTCATAAAAGAATAAAAATAACTAAAAAAAATTTTTTGTTATTATTAGAAATGAAGGTATATAAGGCACGGGTGTCATACGCGACACCTTTGTAGGTACAATAGCTTGCACAGTAGGAGCTAAATATCCAGATCTTATAGCAAACCAATAGGCATTAACCGATCTCCTACTACAGTGACCTTGTCAACATGGAAAATGAAAAAACTTTCACATCACTTTCTCAAATGTTTGAGCAATTTGAGCAACAAATTCCCCTCACTGATGGGACCTTTTCCCTCAATGACTTAACAGTTTGGTATGATCTTCTTAGTCATAAAACCATTAGTTGCGTCGTCAATGTGGACCATAAGTCTAGAGTAGCCCAAGCCAGGAGGAGAAGTGGATCTCCTTGAAATTTGATGAGAGTGTAGTTGATAAAATTAAAAAGAACTGAACATTTGATTCTCAGCCAAAATGATTTAATCTTTTCCTTAGTCGGAATGGTAAAAGGTGTGTGTGTGCGCGCGCGCATGTGTGTGAAGTTTTTTATCACAAATTTCTGAAACAATTCAAAAGATTGGCATAAAGTTTTCTGAAACAGAAAACAATCGAAAATAATCACCAAATGCCTTCCCAAGTAAAAGAGAATTAAAACATAACATTTGAATCTAATTTTTTCATTACAACAGCTTGGTTTAAGAATCACAGGAAAGAAACATGTTCACTGACTAATAAAAATGCTAGCCTAAGAACATATTATAAAGCCTTGAGGCATGTGAAACTATTGATTTTGATATTAATATGAAAATACTAAGTCAAAGGGTCTTTTCATGGTCTTAAGTTTTTTGTTGGAAATTGATTTTGAACCATTAAAGCTCAACTTTGAAATATCTTTCATTCATGTTTTCCAACAAGTTGTATGAAACATAAGGATTTCATTTGGATTGAGTGATTCAAGTGGTTTATATTTCCCATGGATCTTGGTGGGCCTTGACCATAGTTTGCCACTTCTATATAGGCATTATGTTGTTGATGGGGCTAATGGTGCGTGATACTTGAAGGTGTTTAAAAAAAAATTCAAACGTAAATGATAGTTGATATTAGAGAGCTCTCAGGGGATGAAGAAGTTGTTAAGGAATGTAAGTTTAGTTCAACATAGGATAGGTGAAAAAATCGATGGTGGAGAAATACCAAAACTTGAAGTCTAAATACTTTGCCCTCTTATGTAGGTGTTTGGATTAAAAATCAATTTAGCCACAGTGCATTGGACCAAAATTTACCTAGGAAAGGTCAAAAAGATTTGCCAAGCTTTATCAATTGATATAAGCTTTAAATTGAAACACATGTGAAAGTTAAACTTATGGGCCAACAATAATTAGCAACTCATAGCATTGATAAATCAAAAAGTTCCAACAAAAAAATATGTAAAGCTAAACAATTTCTAAAAGAATGCAACAAAATATTTAAGTGCATAATGACTCCTAAAAGGATAACAACTTCACATTTATACTAAAGGTAAATCACATATCATCATACAAACATGATAAAGAAAGAACAATTCCAGTACTGGATAGGTAAATAATCAAATATTATGAAACAACTGTAGGGTTAACATGGACTGAAAAAGCAAGCATGTATTTGAAAGGTCATAGAAGAGTAATATACTACATCACACAAAGCGTTGTTTGTATGTTCTGCACAGCAATATACAATAGCTCATTTAGACGAGTCTATTCCCCCCTCAAAGGAAGACTTTTTCAAGCTGCTAAGTCGAACATTTATAAATTCACAACCATGAGATCCATACCTCTTAAATGGTCCTCCTTTACCAACTGAACAAAGCGAGTAAGAACACAAAAATAAATTGCTAATATAACTGATAACGACCTCCCAACCATGAGAAACATTAAAGACTATAAAACGTGAGAAAGTCCATCAACAAACCAGTTCTTGTAATGCTCTAAATTTGGCATTCTAAAAAACTTCACCGAAAAAGAAAAATTCAAAATTCAAAATTTAAAATCTACTATTTCTAGGTTTAGCATGATCTACCTTTCTCATTAATAGTACCAGATTTGGACATTGGGAAGACTTCATACTGCATTTCCCCAGCCCGTGCACAAACAAATTCAGGATGGGATGATCTTATAAAATGTCAAATGAGCCTAAATATGAACATGCTTTTAATCTTCTTTAGCAAATCAACATTTGCATATCAACATATCAATGTGTAACAGCTGCGACCAAACAATGTTGCCAAGGATTAGCGAAAACTGGTTAGACAAAGTCACAAACTGATCTAAGAATCTCCCAAATTATACAGAAATGTTGTTTTTTTTTTAACGAAGAAAATGTTTGATGAATTTTATGGTGTAACTATCCAATCCGTAATTAACTGTTTGACAAATCGCTAAAAGATTAAGCGAGATAGAAAGTTATACTTAACAAAGATCAAAAGTTTAGGTGGCTACAGAAACTTTAACAACACAAACGAACGAAGAAAAATAAGCAAATTCTGCCCAATTCAATCGGTAAGAGCTAATCTTTTTATATCCGATCTCATATCCCAAGACCCATTTTGTTACGGAATAAACATTCAAATAGAGTATATTTTCATCCTCCAAATCCTGCTGTCGCATCTTAGAAGAGTTCGCACACCCGAAACCCTTCTCCGTGATTTCATTTTAGAAAGCCTAAAATAAGCATTATTTCAACACATAAGAAAATTGACCTGGTTCAGCAATCAGCTCTTGGGCGAAAACGCGGCCTTAAGCCTCGAGCAATCCACCAGATACGCGAATCCATAGGCCATATTCTTCAGGGTAGCCTCGTGCAAATCCCTATTCGAGGTTCCTGTGGCGTCGGTGGAAAAAAAAACCCTAAACCCTTTAACGAACGCCTCCCTCGCCGTCGTCTCACAGCAGAGATTCGTCATCACCCCCGTCACGATCACCTCCTCCACTTTCAGCTCCATCAGCGTCTCTTCCAACCCAGTACCCGCAAACGCACTGTAAGTGTTCTTCTCCACCACACGGTCGCCGTCGCGCCTGCCGATGTTAGGGAGGAGATCGGCTGGCGGCGGGGCCCCGCGAGGTAGATCGACCG